CCTGGCCGACCCTGTGCCTAACAGGCGGCTACCCTTCTTTTACTTAGCACCTACGTTCACCAAGAACTTACCAAGGCCACCGGCCGAATGATCAGACCAGGCGCCAAGCCAACTGATCAAATCTACAAAACTAATACGACCTGTCCCAACATCATAGCAGGCGTCCGACGGCATCCCTCCGGATGAAATTCGTCGCAGAGAGCAACTCCCTTTTGGGTGGAACATTGTTCTATAAACTAATTACACGGCACCTATACGACTGTCCCCAAGGGCAACCACGTAGCCGTTTTTGAGACAAGGATAACTCTATCACTAACCAAACCAGTGGTAGCAGTTGACATCTGAGTCAGATGACCGCCTGTATTACTTGGGATAAATGAAGGGGGTACCTATTGAGTTAATAGCCAACAAACATTGGCGAATCAAGGGGTCTAGCCGGCCTACGCCGCCTGGTACCTCTACTTCTCAAACAAAAGGGACGGCGACTGAGTAACTCCAACGTTAACTCATAGTCACTCCCTCAAATTTGGTATGGAACCTAAAAGGTTTGAGTCGTCCGCCTGTTTTTAACAAACAAGGGCACTCAAACCCCTATTCCTACTAGGTAACCTATTGAGTTAATAGCCAACAAACATTGGCAAATCAAGAGGATCAGCCGGCCTCCGCCGCCTGGTACCTCTACTACTCAATATAGAGTGTGACGAAGACTAAGTAACTCCTATGTTAACTTAATAGTCACTCAAACTTAGTATGGAGCCTAAAAGGTATGAGTCGTCCGCCTGTTTTTAACAAACAGGGACTCTCAACCACTACTCTTGCTAGGTTAACAAATTACGATTTAAAAGCCAACATTGGCAATAAAGGGAAACAACCGGTACCCGCCGCTTGTTATCCTACTTACTTAATTCCTTGGCGACTAGGTAATACTATTTACTTGGTCAGACCACTTTCCTACTTGGTTAAAATTACAAAAAGACAGGCACGTCTGCCTAAAAAGGATCCAGACAAAATAGTTCGAATACCGATTGAATAAATGGCCGACTGATCGTCTATCCTGGAAACAGACATCCAGTCGTCCAGGGGCATAGGCGGCGTACTTACTATTTGTACCTGTCTGCAACGTTCGGCCATGTACAACAGTCGGTCTAGTGAACAATGGGATATTAGATATGGAATACTTAGACAAATTTGAAGCAAAACAAAAATTTGATTAAAAATAAGCCGGTCATTAAAGACCAGCAAAATATTCAAAGCCCCGGCCCCCTGGCCGGGTAAATACAAAGCAAACGGCACGCAGGCCGTGGAAAAAATACATTAAGCTTAAGAAGGGGGCAGTTCAGTATTAGCAGCTGCCGCCTGGTCAGCACTCTTCTTGCTGGACTCGGCTTCAGCTGCATCCTCTTTTGATGCCTTACCCCCAAGTGGCACAAGCGCCACAACCGGCTCTTCCTCCTCCTCCAGCGCATCTCCCAACGCCTCTTCTTCAGCAGCCGCCAGGATCTCTTGATTATATGTTTCCGAACACTGGCGGTACGTTCTTTCCCAAGAGGCAAAGTCGGCATTGGGGAACAGGCGGCCCCAGGTCATGCGCTGGATTTGAGCGGAGTCTTCCATCATCTCCCGGACGAGCTCTTTCTTCTCTTGCTCGGCCTTTTCCGAGAGCTCTTAGGTAAGACTCTTCTCTTGGCTCACCAGGCGTTCTTTTACGTTGGCCAAGGATTTCTCCATGGCTTCGTAAGAGTACATTTTTTGGCGAAGAGGTTTCAGCTCGGCCTTAAGATTTGTGATGGTCGCCTCCAGCTCGTCATTCTTCTTCTGGGCCGCCTCTAACTGAGCCCGAACAGCGGCGGTAGCCTGCGCCTGATAATAAAGAATATCAATGGTCAGTACTTCATTTTGGGCAATTTGAAACATTGCCTTATCACAGTTAGAGGCGGCCATAGCTTTTGCAGCCTTTACCTCTTTGTTTTTCCGATCAAGCGGCTTGCGAAGGCTGTTAACTCGGAGCAGGGCCTAAGTACAAAAAAAACAGGCGTCAGTTTCCAAACAAAAAAGATAACAGGCGTCCTGAAATTCAAATACTCAAAAAGTATACCTCAGCAAGGACCCCTGCAATCCCATCAAGGTCAAGGGTGCCGGCACCCCTGACCGTCTCCCTTTCAGATGGAGGAACTACTTTGATCATGGACTTGGCTACCTCAACCAAGTCAAGCCCCTGAGGGCCGGCTGCATCAAGCGTAAAAAAGCAAGTTAGACCTAGTCAAGAAGGAAGCAAGTGTAAAAGTTTTTACAAGTAATTGTCCATACTTCTAGGCGGCCCCGCCGGGGTTTTAGAAGAAGTGGCCGGCTGCTTCTCAGCCGCCACTGTTTTCCTGGAAGACCCAGGAGAGCTTGCAACAGTCGTCCTCCGGGCCTTGGGGTCCGGCTGTTGCGAGGAAGAAGCTCTTGGAGTGCCCGACTGAAAAAAAAAAGAAAAAAAAAGAAAAAAAAAAAAACGTCGGTACAAGAGTTAGTATATGCATAAGACAACTCCTAAAAGAGGAAGAGTTTCGAAGCCTACCAAGGGTGCCCCCTTGTTGGGGGAGTCGGTACAAGACTGTTGCATGAGAGAGGCCCGCAACATGGCCGTCGCAGTCTTGGATGCTGTTATTTTACTCATGGCGTCAGCTGCAAAAAATAAACAGCAAAGTTAGTAAAGATCCCAAGTAAACAAAGCGTGAAAAAACAGAGTATTTGACAGGCCGGCTACCTCTAGAGCACCGACTGCTGAGGCCACAGGCGGCCAAAAAGTACTCGTCATAGAGCCACTTGAAGCTCGGGACGCAGTTTAGGGGTACTTGCTCTCGTACCCCTGAAGTAGAGTTCACCCTAGTCTCTACTTTGAAGAGTCCTTTGTCTAGGATCTCTTTTTTAGCCTTTGGGGGAACAGGCGGCATGCTGCGGCCGCCTGCGAGAAGAGGCGGATCCCTATTCCACTTGTTAAAGCGTTTGTTCAGCTCCGTGTCTGAACCCTCGATGATAAGGAAGGTGTTCCGCCAATCCTTCCATTTGTTCGCCTTACCTCTCGTCATGAGGTAGCCCCTATGGCTTGTTAATTGATACCAGCCGGTACCTCCCGACTTAGGGGTCCGGCTGAGATAGTTCATGTGGGCGAAAGCCTCAAAGCTTGGCTCCACCCCGTACATTTCGCACCCGGCCACATAGCCGAGTACGTTTACCCAAGAGTTGGGGGCTAACTGCCATAACCCCAAATCATACCCATCTAAAATCCGCTGAACAGCCGGATGTAATGGGAAGCGCAGTCCAGCTTTGATGGCCGCCACATAGCAGCCAAAGCAGCCGTCATCATAGCTGGTACCAGCCGGCCAGACGACAGTGTCTTCTGGATCCGGCACGAACAGTAAAAATTCGGGGCCCATTCTGTGGTTAGCTATAAAGCTCTCCACTTTGTCTTGCATGGTTGCGATCCGGCCCCGGGGTACCGTGCAGTAGTAGGGGGTGTTTTCCTCTCTGTAAGAGGCGGACGGCTCCGCCCAATTGTCCCCCTTCTCAACTGCATGAGAAAGCCTCGCCTCTTGTAGGCGGCTGTTTCTTTCTTCTGAGCCTGGAGAAGCGTGGCCAGAAGAGCTGGACTCGGACTCGTCCTCTGACGAGTCCGAAGAGGACGACTCCTCCCCTCTCCCAGAGGGGCCCGCCTCCTCTCCCTTAGAAGGAGCAGGAGGAAAATTAGACATATCAATGGTGAAATGGGAAGGGACCACCTTGACCCCTCCCTCAGAACTGCCGGCTGTCAAGCCGCTTCGTTTCACTTCTACATCTGGCGCCTGGTCAGATGTTTCACTAATGAGCACCCTTTGGGAGGAGCCGTCCGAGTTTGAGATCATAGCAGTCTTTTTTGTTCTGGCCATCACGTTCTGCATAGACACAGATACAGTCGGACTTTGTATAAAGGGCAAAGATGGGTCCAGAAAAGGGCAGGCGGCACTCCTAGTCCTAGATTCAGCCGTCCCCGGTGACCGGCTGATCACTAACTTAGGTCGTGTCGTGTGCTTCCGTGGTGCCATTTCAAAAAACAAAAAGAAAATTAAGAGTAAGAGAACTGAGTTACCTGAACGAGTGACGGTTGATGAAGTTCTGGAAATCCGGTGCAGTCGGCTTGTCAGAACAGGCGGTAGGCAGAAAAGGTCCGAAATGTCAGAGCAAGTTCAGGGGTCCGAATGTTCTCGCAAAGTTCTCAAATGTGAAAATGACCGAAGTCAGCACTTCCTTATATAGGCAAAGTGAGAAGGCGAAGGGTCGCTTCCAAATTCAAAATTTGGGCGGGAAAATCTCTCGGCCATTTGCAAGGTGACACCTGTAGCAGGCCGTCGCCTGTCACCGTGCGACACCTGTCACAGGTGACACGTGACCAGTCACGCGCCACCTGTGAGGGGCAAATGATTAGGGGATTTTTATCCACCAATCACCGTTTGACAAGTGGACCAACCAGGTTCCGCCACGTGTCCTTCACGTAGGCCAATAGGAGCCTGCCACGTGTCAATCACAGATACGTCCTCTACGGACCAATTGAGACACGCCACGTGTCCACCCATGCCAAATGGGAAAACCGGCCAACAAGGCCCAATCCTGTTTAGAGGCCCGGTCAGCCCTAGGTTTACCCTAAACCTAGAGAGTGGCACGCTTCTCAAGACTATAAATACTTAATTAATCCTCATTAAAGGGGATGAAGCAATTAATCTCACCTGAAGAACAGAACAGAAACATTACGGAACACACTAATAACCGGCTGATCTCGCTAACAAAGCAGATTACCAACATTAAACACTCTCACCTAGAGAGACCTTATTACTTTAATTTCCGTATTAATTACTCCTTAATCAGGTACTAACTTGACCGTTGGAGGCGGAGCTCTCAGGAGTCTCCGTTATTTTGCAGGTACAGGCGTCCGGTTCCAGTCTCGGAATTGTAACTCTCCCGCAGGACATCAGAAAACCCCGAAACAAGACTACTCAAAATCTAATAAGTATCGTGATAGAGGAGAAATGTGAAGAATGAATGTTTTTTTCAGGAAAGAAAGAAAGAATGAATGTATGTTTTTGTTTAGTTTATTTATTACTCCATACTCATACTCCATTGTAAAAAAAGAAAAAAGAAAAAAAATCCATCTAAAAATTTGACTATAGCATGTTTGTACTTCAGTTCAGTTCAGATTCTAATTTTTTCAATTCAGTTCAGTTTAAATATAATAAGTTCACTTCATTTAAGTTCAATATACAAGAACAAACTCTTACTCGTGATTTTTTTTAGAAGTAAGAACTTAAGAAGTACGATAGTAGTAATTCTGCAATCCTCCATTCTGAAACACAAAATCCTTCATTTCGCAAAACAATGAAGCGTAAGAAGTGGTCTGAAATCGAAGAAAATACCCTTCTCACTAAATACGCGGAGCTCCAAAATTCCGGGACTTTATCAAAGTTAAGAACTCGAGAGAAGAAATTCAAGCCAATTGCTGATCATTTGAACGCAATTCATCATCTTCAAGATCCGGTTAACTTCCCATTTAAGTGGTCATGGCGAGATGTATCGATTAAGGTCCAAAATATGAGGCATCAGTATTTGGGGGTGAAGCAGAAAATTAGGGTTTCAGATGGGGATTTTAATTGGGATGATGGGGAGAATCATTGGGAGAATTTCATCAAGTATAAGGAGGTTTTTGGGGATGTGGAGCTTGAATTGAAGGATAGTAAGAAATTGGGTGTTGGGAATTTTAATGAAATTGGGCTTTTTGGGGGAAATGGGGATGATGGGTTAGGGTTAGGGTTTGAGATTGACTGTGATGATTTTGAGGAGGATGGTGAAGTGGGTGAGGAAGAGGATGAGGAGGAGAGAGAAGGGGATGATTCTGTTTGTGGAGAGGAAGAGGAGAATGAGGGAAAGAGTGAGAGTTTGGGGAAGAAATTGAAGAAGAGGAGGATTGCAATGTTGGGTGCTAGGGTTGTGGAGTTGAGAAATGTTTTGGTGAAGAGGGATGAGAGGAGGAAGGAGAGGGAGTTTGCTAGAGAAGACGGGTTGGCGGCGAAGGAGGCAGGGAGGATTGAAATGGAGAATTTGAAGGAGAAGAGGGTGAGGGAGGCAGAGGAGAGGGTGGAGGAGAGAGAATTGGAGTTGGAAGAGATGCAATTGAAGTGGGCAAGAAAGGAATTTGATAGGAAAGTGAGGTTTGAGAGGGAGTTTGATGAGGAAAGGCGGCGAAGGATGAAGATGGAGGAGAAGAGGGAGGAACAGGAGCTTGAGTGGAGGGAGAGAATGTTGAGTTTGCAAATTGAACATGAGAAGCAAACAATGCAAATGCATGCTGATGCTTGCCAAAACCAGTTGCTAATTCTCGGTATCATGGCACGGTTTATGTGTCAGTTTTTCGGGTCATCTGGTGATGGTTTGGGTGGTGTACTAGGTGGTCTTCCTCCCCAGGTTCTGCAGAATCTGCAACACCCAGGAGCAGGGGACTTGGGGGATAACAGCAAGCCTGGATCCAATTCTTCTCCAGAGTTTATGTGAATGGTGATTAACTTATTTTCTTTTTCTTTCTTCTTTCTAATCCTTTATTGAGATCTTGTATTGAATTTGCTGTTAATGCAAAATTGGAAATCTATTGTCTGTTAATTCTGCAGCCTGCATAGCCTATATTGAAAGGTTCTTCCAAAACGTCAAGTCTGTTTATTAGGAGCAATCCTCTGTAAACAATTCTGTATTTGCAATCATAAGATTTGTAACTTATATGGCGATTAAACCCCGAGTGCACAAAGTTGGTTACAACATCTATACTTCTCTAACATGGGTGCTGGAATTACTATTTTTTCATCTATTCGTGCTGTGGGACGTTAGAGGTCTTATATACAGTCATGCATAATGTGACTGGCTTAGGCAAATTTTTATCCTTGCTTTGTTGATGGTGGTGAAGAAGTGGCTTGTGATTGTATATATAGCCAATATTAACAAGCATCAAGGAACTAGAAAGTGGAGGAGAAGAAAGAGAGTTTTTATTTAAGGGTTTGAGAATATTAAACTGTGTTTACTCTGATTAGTAATTTAGTATATTCCTTTTGACTTGTGGCTTTCTTGCTGAATTTTTTTAAGCATTTGGCGTTAACAATTGAAAGTATTACAGGACCCCACTGGGTGATGAATCTAATGATTTACAGATTGTGTAACATGAATTGTAATGTGAGAAAATTGTATAAGTGGCGTGACTGGATCAGTCTCTATGTTTTATTAAGTACAGTTTTGTTGTTTATGGTAATTCTGTTGATGCAAGACTTGCAACCCAACAAATATATAGTTTGCTGTTTTAAAGATGACTAATTCACTTTGAATATGATCAATGATTATTGACTTATTGTTAGGTTTAAATCTGAAATACTTCATGAATTTGATCAATTTTCCGTCAATTATGGACATTTCCTGATGTATTGATGTCCTTAAAACCCCAATTTTTTTATACCCTGCATTGAACCATCCTCCTCACCCACTTAAATCCTTTACTGCAATTTATTGACCTCTCTTCCTTCATTTTGTTTGTTGTTGTTTATTATTTTATTACAGTTTATTGGGGGCTTAAGGCTTTTCATGTGCGTTATGCTGCTGCTGCTGAAGCTCGTCATGATGAGCATACTTAAAGGTATGCTATCTTTGCATCAGTTTACCTCCTCCCCTGTGTCTAGTTTTAAAGCTTGCTCCGACTAATCATTTGTCTAGTTTTTAAGCTTGCTTGAAGTTAATAGTTTAAGTATAGTACTCCGATTTTTTTTATATTTTTTATTTTTATTTTATTTTTATTTTTAAATTCTGATTAAATTTAGCCGATTTAATGTACTCTCTTAGTTTCTTGAAGCCCTCTGCCCTCCCTTACTCCTTTGTCCTTCTAACAGTGCAGTGCATGCATTATGTGGGTAGCATATTAGGTGCGCAATTTATAAGTTTTTCCTATTTGCTGTTATTGTTGGCTATGGTTGAATTGTGGACGTAATATGTTGCGTAGTATATTATCTCAACTCAGAAATCCAAGGAAGAGGGAAATCGAAGGAATTATGAAATTAAAATTTCTGCTTAAACATGAAGCTAGATGTGGAACCTTCATGGAGTAGCACCTTGGGTTAAGGAGATTTGAAGAAACATTATTTGAGTAGTTACTGCTTGAGCTTTAAAATCAATTACATTATACTAAAGGCGAAACTTAGAGAACACTTGGCAAGATATTGTAAAATGTTTTCCCTCTAAAACCACTTACTAAAAAAAACTTATTGTAATTAAACTATGACTTTTAGATCGTATAAAATCTAAAATAAATGTCCTTAAATATCAAATTGCCCATTATAACTATTATATGTTTAATTAATTTCTTTCACAATATTTCATACTTTTTACTACTAAGTCTATTTATAATATTTATACCCATTATTTTTGGTAAAATTTATTCTCATTAGAATTATTTAACAACTGTGCATTGCACGGGGTTTAATCTAGTGTTCTTCTAAATAGAAATCTCCAACTAATTACTCGTGTCGTAAATGTTCTGTTGATTTTCTACATAGGATCTCTGACTACAAGTTGAAATCGCTCTGTTGAATTGCTACATAGGGTTCCAACAAATGATTAGTCGCGTGATTGCATGTTTCCTCCAATCTTTCTCACCAGCCATTCAACTACTTGTATGACTAGTTTGAACTCTCATGCCAACTACCAAGGCTTTGATGTTTAAATCTTTAAAGCTTAAGTTTTAGGGAACTTTAGGGAACATTATTTCAGACAAAGTTATACAATGGACAATAAGTTCATATAAGTTCGGATCATAAGGGCTCCTTGGTTCACTATAAAACAATAGCTAAGTTCAGATAGGGTAATTGAGGTGAATAGAATAAAGACTAAACCATCTAATAACAGAAATCTGCTCTCCTGCTAGTCAAATGTGTCCATATATGTTTCCAAGTTTCTTATTTCGAAGACCGACAGAATTTTTCTTCACTTTGCTGATTACTTCATTTAAAATTGCATAATATCATAGGAATTTTTAACGACGCATGATATTATAATTTACAATCCCAAATACCAATAATCTCAAACATCACGAGACAATGGGAAGAGTTTGCTGCATTCAGTCGCATGGTGGAGCTGGAATCATCTGTTGCTGAAAATTCATTGCCTTGAAATAGTAGGAGTCGAACAATTATTTCTGGCAAGAAGACATGCCACACGAAGTGCGAACTGTAGCTCTTAACTGCCAGTCAAACTTGAGTTAGTTGATACCCTTTTGATGCATTGTGATTGCGGTCCATATCCTTTTGCTGAATCCTTTGATTCCTTTCATGTTTCATCTTTTTTCTTCTGCTAAATTGTGTATTATTCAGGTTGATGATATAATCTCCTCCACTCCTCCAGCACTACGCGTCGACCTCTCCTTTTGCAAATCATTTCATGTCTGGTGTGCTGTATGCTCCCAAATATGGCAAAGAAGTTATACATATAGAGATGTAGATAGGAAGAGTAAGGTCAGATAGATTATCTACAAGTAGCTAAAATTACTTGTTTTGCACAATCTGGTGGTTTTTGTGAAGTAAAAGATTGTGTCCTTAGCTTCCTTCTAGTAAGTAGTAACATCAAGTTTATGTATACAATACTGAATTAGACTAGAAATTACGAGCATATCGTATTTCTTCTGTGATATCTTTAATTACATATTAATAATAGATTGGATGCTTAGATACTCCATTCTCCCATCTAGATTGTGAATCAATGTTTTGATAAACATGTCAAAAAATAATGATATCTTATCAAATGAGAAAGAGACATATTCTAAATAATGTTTTGAAATCAGTGAATGGTAGTCGATCGATCTCTGAACAAGTAGTCAACCAGATGCCTTGTCCAACAGTCGTACCTGCGACAAATACATTACAGTACAACAGCCCAATACATTATTTTTACTAATTTATCTATATCTATATTATTTTTATTAAGTTATCTAAGATATGTCAAAAATTGTTTAGAAAAATAAGTTTTATTGCAATGAAACATACTCGCATAATTCCTACAACATAAACAATTCCCTAAAAAAAATTTAAAAAATACAACAATAAAAGTTTTAATTTGATGATTTCAAACGAACAAGTACAATCTTAGTAAAATAAGCTAAATCCAAAAGATTTAAACAAAATAAATTGAATTGAACAGATCTTGAATTATACTTAATTATATCGTCATAGATACCTACAAAGATAAATTGAAGAACAACAAACCTAAACTGTAAAGTGCACACACACTCTAATCTTGTGTTCGGAATTTCAAGTTCATGCTTTAGGGAGCGCTAACCCTATATTGTCCTAAGAGAAGGAAGCTAATGCCTAAGAATAATAGCATAGTTAATCCTCTATTGTATCATCAATATTGCATAGAATCATTAAATCAAACATAGATTAGGTTTCTACAAATTGCAAGCATTATAATCCACTCTACCTCAAATTTAATGCACATTTGTTACACTTACCTTGTTTTTCTTCATTCATCCTTCACCATGCTAAGGATATATAACTAGTGAGCTTAATTGTGACCCACCTAATTGTCACGCAGGATAAAACCGCCAGTCCAAGTCAACCTCCTTTGCCTTCCATTTTCGTAGTTAGCCTTTTACATGTTATCTACTTGCATAACTTTATAAATAAGCTAAGTTTATTCTCTTCAATCTATACAATTCGTTACAAACATTAGGTTGAGAGTAAAGTCTTTTATCTTATATTTTTCTCTCTTATAAGATAGATAAGCATATAATTATATTCATCAATTGCATAGTGTAAGAAAAATAAGAAGATGAGGGAGCCATATTATTGTAGCAAGGATGGAAGAAACAAGGGTGCTTGGACACATCAAGAAGACCAAAAACTCATTGATTACATTAAACTCCATGGTGAAGGTTGTTGGCGTTCACTCTCCATGGCTGCTGGTTTGTTTGCTATAACTCGATCTTAATATGTCCCTTCTCTCTTTCGCGTGTTTACATGTCCAAAATATCTAGTGCAACCATGGTAAATTTGATATCATACAAATCAGACCAACAAAACCAATTCAAAAATAATTTCCAAGGACACTTTTTTGGGGTTTCAAGAGTGTTTTAATTATACGGTTTAATCAAAAGGGTTGCACCACTTTTAACAGTTTGCAACCGTTGTACAAGAAATTTGGTGGTTGACCTATTAACTTGTTTGTTATGTGTCCTTAATTCTTATCTAAAATTAATTTGTATAATTGATTGTAGTGGATGTATCTAACAAGAAATGACAATATTGAGTATTGCTTATCTAATTTGTAATCTAATTATTTGTAGGTTTAGATCGTTGTCGCAAGAGTTGTAGATTAAGATGGTTAAATTATCTAAGACCTGATATTAAACGAGGAAACTTTGCTCAAGATGAGGAGGACCTTATCATCAAGCTTCATGCTCTTCTCGGCAATAGGTGCATTTTCTCTTCACTTAATTATATATAATCTCATCTTTATTCTCTATCACATCCCCTCGATAAATGAATGAATTTTGAGTACGTGTTGGACACATAATTACGTGCCATCTAAGATCGATTACACTTGTCATACCTATCATATCATTTTACATAATTAAACATTGAGTTAAAAATATAATCTTAATTTGTGACATTAGTTAATTAATAGTGGCTTAAATTGGAGAGCATACATACATGTAAATGATACGGATTACTTTATATTATATGTATTTGTTGTTAGGTGGTCATTGATAGCAGGAAGGTTACCAGGAAGAACAGACAACGAAGTGAAGAACTATTGGAATTCTTGCTTAAGAAAGAAGCTAATTTGCATGGGAATTGATCCTAATAACCATAAACTCTATCATCATCTTCCCCATCAAAAAATTCCACAACAGCCACTAGGGTCTCCTATCGCGATTTCATCTGAATCAAACAAGAACAATAGTAATGCATGTAGTAGTAAGCCATCATTGAAATCTCATGGTACTAATGCTACTAATAATGATGATGACATGAATACTGAAAAGAATTACGCGATAGCTTGCACTGGGGAAGAGACATCGCCTATGTTGGATTTGAACCTTAAACTCGCCTTTGAGATGCCCTAGCATATATTTATTTTTCTCAAAGAGTATTTGTAACTTGTAAGGGAATCAAAAGACTGGTAATAAGTACATATATTGGAGATATAAAAAGAAATGTTTATTATACTCTTGGTATCTTTGTTATTGTATATCATATCATCATGTTTGGTGTATAATTATTGTGATTTTATTATTAATTGTGGTTATGTAAGTATCTTTATTGACAGTACCATTTTTTTGAGCAATTTTATTGACATTACCACTTGGAGGATTATATAAATCTTTGATTTATCTTTTGAATATGTTGTCATAGATTGTATTAGGCTCTAATTCGATCTTGTGTAACACTAACACAAACAAATTTTTACATTCTTTCATTAATATAATTAACAATCAAATTCCATTATATCAATAGTCTACATTCACTACAATTTTATTTTACATGCATGCATTCTCTTGATATCTCCAATATATGGAGTAATATGTAAGTTCAGAAGGATTGATATATGATTGTCAGATTTAATGCATCGCTGATCCTATATCCATTCATCAAGGAGTTCACTTTTTTTTGCTTATCGGACGCTTTTTATTTGTTTTAATTTAATCTTATTTTTTCTTATCCGATTTGATCAAAACTTAATTAGTTTTTCTAATTTGATCTAATATGATTTGATTTGCTAATTTGACTAAAACTTGACCTTTAATGTTATCCATGAGAAAAAAAAAAGTTTCAAATGAGTGTAAGAATGTGCATTTTTCAATAAAAATAAAGTTATATAGCGATGAAAAATCTCCCATAAGACGACAAAGTCGATGTGACTTTTTATTTCTTGATTTAATATGATCTAAACTAATTTAGGGTCTGTTCTGATTTACCGAACTGAGCTGAACTGAATTGAAATTGAGCTGAAGAGAATAAGTCCTTAGTCTAATCTCATCTTAAATAAGTAACAACACCATAAATAAGGGTAAACTAAACACAAACATCTGGATAAAACAAAGTAATTTAGCCACCATATATAATAAGCCCTTGTGAGATACTACATGTACATACATAAGTAACAAATCAAGTATTAAAAGGTTAAAATCGATGCATATGGAAAATAATCAAGTATTAAAGGATAAAATCGATGCATATGGGAAATAATCAAGTATTAAAGGATAAAATCGATAATCACAACTTAGCTACTAGAGTACACAAAATATACATTTTAAACCATTCGAAAAAAGGATAAAATCGATACATATAAGGAAAATAATCAAATCTCAGTGTAATTATAAATTTATTACATACTACGTATATAAATATATAATGTATACTCCCTTCATTCCATATACAAAATTACAAAGTACTTGGTATAATTGACATGCTTGGATATTTTTCACTATTCATATCTATTAACTTTAACTATGATATTTTACTATAGTATGAAGTATAATGTAATAATAAAAAGATTTATCACTTAAAATGTTGTTAAATAGAAATAGGGAAATTATCAATGGTACACCCAAGGTTCGGGCTTTTATCAATGGTACACCAACTTAGTTTTTGTTTATCAGCGGCACACCCAAGGTTTCACACGATTATCAACTATACACTTAACGTTAAGTAAAGGTTAAGTTGGGGTTTAATTCGATTTTTTTAACTTAAAAAATTCCCTCCCTTTTTTTCCCCTCTTCATTTTCCCTCCTTAATGTACTCTACCTTACCCGCCCCCTCTTCATCTATATATAGTTTCCCTCCTTTCTGATTTTCCCTTTTTCACACACAAACATACATATATCTACTCAAACACACCTAATTCGAATTATTTGTGCAAAAAATACAACAGTAAAGCAACAAATAATAATCACAGGCACATTGTGCATAATTTAAACCATAATTCGCTAACAATTGTACATGAAAACCAAAATTCAACCATTTAAACAAAAAATTCATATACTACCAAAACTAAGCGAAAGTCGGAAAATCAAAGACTCAGATGAAAACTTACCTTAAACGATCAACAATGAAGTGCAGAATTTGCTAGAATTTTAATCAATTCGCCCGTCGATTATGGAACCTCACAACGGCAGAAACAGGGGAGAGAGTGAGAAGGAAGAAGAAGATGAACGATCTTCTGACTTAGGAGTTTTTAATATAGGTAGTTGAGGTTTGAAAGGAGCGATTTAATGTATATGGAGTAGGGGGGTAAATTAGTCATTTCATTTTAAGTGGATTAACCTAAAATTAACCTTTAATTAACGTTTGATTAACGTTAGGGTTACTGTAGACGAGTGTATTAAACCTTGGGTGTACCGCTAATAAACAAAAACTAAGTTGGTGTACCATTGATAAAAGCCCGAACCTTGGGTGTACCATTGATAATTTCCCATTGGTATAAAGTTTCATAATATCCAATTTTTATTATTATTGCTAATATTTGATTACTTACAGGATAACATTAGTACAATGACTAGCGTGTCAAGTTTGACTATATCAATTATCATTTAAGGAAGCGAGTATATGTTGTATAAATACACATGTATACACTTTAACATTTGGTTCTCTTAGCTTATAACTAGCAAATACAAAATTAAACATCCTCCATCCATAACAACAACAACAAATGGCTCGACTCATGATCAACCGCACACTCATCACGTTCTTAATGTTCATTACATTGTGTATAAGCCTTGGTGCTAGTGACAAGAAGACGCTCCTCCGAATAAGTAATGAATTGAGCAACGGAAAAAGCCTTGAATTTCATTGCAAATCAAAGAACGATGATCTTGGAGTACGAAACCTTAAATCTGGGGAATCCTTTGAGTTCGAGTTCACAGAAGATCCAACCACCCTATATTTCTGTGGTTTTACGTTTGATAACACGACATTGCATTGGTTTGATATCTTTAAGTTCTTTCGTGATACATTTCGTTGCTTAGGTGTTTGTCATTGGCAGATCAAAGAGAATGGTCCTTGCATTGAAAATCCTTTTGTTTTTACTTATAAATGCTATGGTTGGAATTAGTAAACATAAATTATGATTGTCTACAATTACATATATACATAGACATATTTTAAGTGTTACAATATAATATATATATTGCAATAAAAATTGTATTTTGCTTGCAAGCATGATTTCAAATTTGAGTTCATTTTGAATTCTTTGATTAATACTTGTACATATTATTTAGACTCCATTCAATCCCTTTTGTTTATCTCACTTTGACTTTTAGTCTCATAAAAAATACCAAATGGAAAAAATAAACAAAAACTTTTGTATGCATCCGATGTACAGTAATATTATTGTACATCGAGGTAACTTTTGTTGAATTTAGGGTAACTTTTATCCATAAAGCTTAAATAACTTTAATTTATATATACTGAGTACTTTCATTCATTATAGGATAACTTTTGTTCATTTTAAGGTAACTTTAAAACGGATATACAATATTTTATTGTACGTACATTTGATATTTTATAAATGTTTGTCACAAATAAAAAGGATCAGAGGGAGTATTTGTGAGTCAGGTTGTTATGATTTATTGATTTCTTATAATAAATGTAAATACTACGCAATATCCTGTATGATCTGATACGGTCATACGGAGTATAACATTATACTCCGTAGCATAATTAATGCATAAAAATGAATTACATTATGTTCATTGTACAAACCGTTGTATCATGCATACGATACAAGCAACACTATTGAAGTAATGGATACGTTATATCCATATACCTATGTTACGTCAGCACATGTAATAAATGAAAGTACATGGCAAATTAACAATATCGTATTATAACTTATTTTATCTAAACTTATAAATTTATTATTTTAAAAATAAAATAATTTAAAGGCAAAAGTTAACAAAAATGGAAATCTTAAGGTAAAATAAACATTAAGACTGATTTTAATTTGGTACTCCGTATATGCTCCCAAATTAATACAGTATTACATACTATTTTAAGTTATATACTCTATATTAATTATCTATCTACTTTTTTTTTTTTTTTTTGACACGAAATTATCTATTTACTCCTTAACATTGCGGGATGCTCATTAACAAGATCCTTAATAGGATAAACTAATGCGAAACAGACCCTTAATTCAATAAATATGATAAACCCCAATTAAACGTGACTTATGGTATTTTTTGGCAACGTACGGAAGTACGGAACTGTACTATTTAGAGATGAGGAATGCTTTAAATGTGAATTTCGTTTAATTTACCCAAGATATCTTGCACAAATAACGTACTATTGCATCATCAACATCTTTGATCTAATCTTGATCAATTACCCTTATATATACTCAATTGAATACCTCTATCTCATTCATCACACCATTCACAAAAACAAAAAAAAAAAAAAAAAAAAAAAAAAAATGAGTCCTTTGATAATTAAGCATATACTCATCACGCTAATGATGTTGTTTACTTTGCTAATAAGCCTTAGCAAGGCAGACAACGTTAGAATCATAAACACCTTGAGCCATAACAAACCTCTTCAGGTTCATTGCAAATCCAAGGACGATGATCTAGGCGTACGAAAACTCGAAAAAACAGGAGATTACTTCGACTTTGATTTCGGTAGAAGTGTAGTCACATTATTTTTTTGTGGTTTTGTATTTGATGGAAAGTTGCATTGGTTCGATATATATGAATATGATCGTGATGCATGGCGTTGCATTAAGAAATGTTGGTGGGAGATCAAAGAGGATGGTTCTTGCTTGCTTGATAAAGTAACTCAAAAGTATACTCTTTGCCATGGGTGGAATCCAGATCTATTAAAGCTTGCATAGTAATCAAATCACTATGCATATGATTTGTCGTGCATGTATGTATTCACATATATATATATATATATATATATATATATATATATATATATATATATATATATATATATATATATATATATATATATATATATATATATATATATACGAAGTATGGAACAAAATGCAGAAAAATAAAACTCAGCTCGTGCTTTATTTTCTATTGTCGGTTTGCAAAATTAATACGCGTATGATTTTACTACTAATCACAGTACGTACTAATACATAGCTATTTATAGCTAGTATGTCTTAAGATTGGACGGACAAGATCGGATTAAGGCCAAAACCTCAAAGTTGAAGCTAATCTTAGACAAATGCAATGGTAAATACTACTCCATGCATGGATGATTAGATGAACAACAAAAACCCTTAATTTAATTTTAATAGGCATTTATCAAGGCGTGTATGACTAATCGGTCATTTCTTTTCTTGATAAAAAACAACTCTAATTAACTTGTTTTGATAAGAAAGAAGAATTATATTGGATCTCTAGAAGCTGAAAATAATATTAAAATTATAAAAATAGATTTCTTAAAGAAGTTGATTTCATGTGATTAGCACTTTAATTTTAGCTAATGACTATCATAATAACCTCCCTATGGGATTTAAGATTATATATTTGCAAAAAGGTATCCTCATCAATTTTAATTGATAAGCTTTAACAAGAAAAGAGAAGTTTGTGATAGACCATTAGTCAATTAGACACTTCTTTTACTTATATAGTGGAGTAAAGTGACTAATGACAATAGAATATAGATCAACCTATTGTGGTTTGATAATTTTTGCCTTTAATTTTTTTGAGATTTTTTTTAGTAGTTACGAGTATATTATAATTTCATTTATTTTAATCTCAAAAGAGGATATTCTTTTCACACCAATGCATGATTTTTTTTTGAATGAAAAATGCATGATTCTTGAGATATGGGCAATTTAGCATCATCATGAACATTAAACAGTACTTTAATTATCTTTTATTATTATCAACTAAGTTAATATGGTCAAATTATGATGTGTGTCTCTTAATTTTTTTAAAATACCGAAATTGAAAAGTGTGGATTCGTGTCGATATTGTATTAGCGTCACCCTTCAAACTCAAGCATGTATTGGGGCAATTAGAATACAACACAATAACTCATCCATTGGGAAAATTGACAATTTAATCATTTATGTAAAAAAATATTCTTTAGGGGGAAAAAGGAAAAGAAACCGATGACTTGAAATAACATGTTACATGGCACTTTAAGACAATTTAGTGAGTTAATTGATGATAGAGTGAAACACTCTGTGTTTAAAAGTTATTCTCATCTAATCTATAATCGTTTCATAACAAGTCAAAATAGAAAGAACTTTTCGAACAATAGGAATATTAATTGGAGAAAACAACCACTATAGTTGGTATTCCTATGAGCTATTTTTTTGTTATATTCACCTTATTTCTATTTATCTCAAGAAAAATAACTAAACAATGCTAGTTTGATTATTAAAAAGCCCATATAAGATATTTTTAGGATTTTATTTTTTGATAAACTGTGAGTAGGGGTGTTCATAAATCGGGTCGGGCTAACAAAAATGGACCGGACCACCTCAGACCGATCAACGATCGACCCTGAACCGGACCGAATTAATCTGTCTAGTCTTTTCCCGGACTTCAGTCTGGTCCAAAACCCTATAAAAACCGGCCTTGGACCGGATTGATTTTTTTTTTTTTTACTTCCTCCGTTAATGGTTAATTGCAACAAAGAAATATTTTATATCTCACAAATAATACCCCTTTGTTGCAATTAACCATTAACGGAGGAAGTATATAAAAATATGCGTGAAACCTTAAATAATGGTTAAGATTATCCTTAATAAGCTTCGAAACTTTAAATTTATGAGCTTTTTTGTACTAAATATACAAAAAAAAAAAAAAAAAAAAAAAAAGACATTAAAGTGAATATTTTTCTTTACTTTTTTAGAGTTTTCCATAAAATTATTTTAAAAAATTAATTTTGTTTTTTTTAAAAAATTCTTATATCGGTCCAAAGCGGTCCGGTCCGGGTTTCGGACCGATTTTTTCGGTTTGGTCCCAGCTTAATCGGTCCGGTCTTTGGTACTTAAAATTCTAATTTTCAGTCCGATTTGATTATAGACCGATGAAAAGCCCTAACTGTAAGAAAAGTTAACAAAGGCTACTCATTTTAAAATATGATCAAAATAAGCTTTGACTTAGTTAATTTTTAATTAAATAAAATCAAGTGAATAAAACATAATATCCCATTACTCCATATGAAGTAATTTTGGTATGAGCCTTCCCAAACATAAGGTTTCACAACACCATCATGCATGAGCATGACATGAAGTTGAAGTCATGATAGATACACTATGAATTCCAACCATAAGAATATCATAAATTTAATTACCCTAATAAACAAAATATTTAAAATTACAACACCAAATCAATTCATGTGCATACCATGTGCTAAAATCACATTTATTTTTTTAACAGATAATAACTTTCTCCATTTTATTGCGCAATCTCAAAAATTCTAAACTACGTAAGCCATATTAATTTCACTATTAATTCAAAACACTTTCTCTACACGCCGTAATCTGGATTATGTTGGCGCAAATTAAAACTTATACTCAACCATTTTTATATTGCCCACCAAATGTTCGACGAAATGCCAACTCCAAAAACCAATTTGTTTCCATTCACACTTCCATCACATCATCCTTTTTCTAGAAACCCAATTCTCCCACCATTCAAATATTAATCATTTCTTCATATTCTATCTTATCTGACCTTTTCTGAGGAGAGAGAAAAGAGAAAATTAATGGGGAACAACATGGGTGGAGGAACCAGTAAAACATCAAAAATTATGAAAATCAATGGCGAAAATTTCAAGTTGAAGATCCCAGCTAAAGTTTTTGATGTTATTAAAGATTACCCAGATCATATTTTGTTAGATTCTGAAGATTTTCTCAGGTTCAATCTCAGAGCTAAACCTTTAAACCCAGATTTTGAGCTTAAACCCAGAAAAATCTATCTTCTTGTTGAATTACCCAAATTTCCATTGAATAATACTTGCAATAGTAATTATCAAACCCCACTTAGGGAGGTGAGATCTGGTGTGCTCGCGCCCACGACAACTACGAAAGATTTCATGTCTCGAAGAACAGCATCCGATGATCTTACTCTTATCACGAGATCAATGGCTGATTATGGAAGTTCAGTGGGTCCTACTAGGGTTAAGATGAAGCTGCCGAAGGCTCAGGTGCAGAGGATTATGGAGGAGAGTGGAGACGATGTTGAGGCTGCTAAGAAGATAATACGGCTTTGTTTGGAAGATAACACGGCCGTGTGCGGTGGTGGAGCGGCGGTGGAGGCGGAGGAGAGAGAAAATGGTGGGGTGGTTAATGTGGAGAGTCGGAGACATTGTTCGAGTGTTTATGATATGTGTAGTCTTTGCTCTAGTTACCGCCGTAAGTATAAGAAATTAACCTCCTAGTAAGTTGTACGGGTACGGATATAGATACGGGATATCAAAGAACGAATTACGTATGTTTATGTTGTTAAGACGTGCCTGTGTTTGAGTACACGCCATCTATTATTAGAAGTGTATGTGTGATAAAATGAAGTGTTAAGTGTTAAGTATTGTTTAATTTAGTAGTTAAAGAGTAATTTATTTTAGGGTTTATGATTATTATTACCTCAATTAGATGATGTAAAAATTAGGGTGTAAAATTAGGTGCAAATGTATATACTATATGTCTATATAGTGTGGTTGATGCTTTGATGGTATGATTAATTACTATGATCCATTCATGAGTTTTTTTGAGTAAAATTTGTGATAAGCTTGAAAGAGTTTCAATTATTCAACTATGTATTAGATGTTAGATGCATATATGATAAGATTGTGTGTTATTATGAGGTATGAGCGTGTTTTGTATAATTGTATGAAGTGATTGTACATTATAAGGACAAAGTTTTTATTATATGCATAATTAGTAACTTTATGATAGAATTGTATCGACGAATTTTACATTTTTGTCCATAGATAACTAATTGCGAAATAAAGGTACTATTATAATCTCTGTTTGTTAAACCACTTATGTAAGAGTACGTCTTTTTATTTAAACATTTCTCTCTACCATAAAATGATGATGGTTTTCCTATTTAACAAAATAGTGACTCACACATGAAACCAAGATAACAAACGAAAGAAGTACGAGTATTAATGAGGCTCTACTCTAATGTGTACATTAGTTCCATTATTTTGACTACTTGGTAGTAAGATTGAATCATCTCACCAACCACAAAAATCGAGTCAAAAAGGGTTTGCATTCTCGATTTTGTACCAAAACTTTTAAGGATTAAAAAGGTGGAATCAAGCAAAATTAGCAGTTAGTGAGCAACAATATATTTTTATTATAGTTACTCATCTAATGTACAGCTGTCAAAAGTTGACCCGTCCTGTAATACCAACTTAAACCCGATTATTAACCGATCCATTTGAATGCGAAAAAATGGTGACCCAAACTCTACCTGAAACCAACCCTAGACCCGAGTTGACCCGAGTATGTGAGACCTGAACCCAAACATGAACAAACCTGAAGATGACCCGACCCGAATGTAACCCGTAAATTATTGACCTGAACCGAACCCGACTTGATTCGAAATTGACCCAAACACGTTTTAACCCGTCAAAACCCGAATTTAACCCGACTTGTTACTAACCTGACCTGAATTCAACCCGACCCGTTCCTATCTGACCCGAATTTCACCCAACCTGTTACAAACCCGACCGGAAATCAACCCGACTTGTAATTGAACTAACCCAAATTCAATCCGACTTGTTATTGACCCGACCCGAATTTTACCAGATTTATTACTAACCCGACCCAAAAATTCAACACGATCTGTTACTAACCTGACTCGAAATCAACACGACTTGTTATTGACCCGACCTAAATTCAACCCAAATTGTTCCTAATTCGATATCAAATCACCTTAAATACAATTTAGACCACCTTATTATTATTGATTAAAGCATTTTTTCTAGGGAGACCAAGTCGATCCAGGCCAGCAAAAGAAAGGAGCATCATCCTCAAATTTAAGAGTTAATATAGTACGGAGTATATATTTGTTGTACGGTCAAAGGAGATAGTTATCTTCTTAAATTATAAATTATACTTCCCTAGTATATTGCCATATATATTATAGTCAAAGGAAATAATTAACTTGATAAAAATGATAATTATCTATTTATAATTAGTTGAATCCGAATATGACCTGACTTGGAAATGACCCGACCAGATTGTAACCTGCAAATTATTGACTTGAACATAAAATGACTTGACTCCGAGAATGACTCGACTTGGAAATGACCCAACCTAATTAGAACCCGCAAATTATTGACTTGAACCAAACCCGACTTGAACTTGAGAATGACCCGACTTGAAAATGACCCAACCTGATTATAACCCGCAAATAATTGACTTGAACCGAACTCGACTCAAACCCGAGAATGACCCGACCTGATTCTAATCCACAAATTATTGACTTGAACCGAACTCGAGAATTACCCTAACCCGTGAAAACCCAAATTAAACCCGAACTATTATTCACCCGACCCGAATGTAACCCGACCTGTTATATATTAACCCGACCCAAACCCAATTAGATTTATGACCCAAAGTGACCCGTCTTAAGCATGACCCAACCCAAACCCGACCCGCAAAGGTTATGGAATTAATCTGAATTAACCCGACCTGAGCTGACACGACCCACTCTTACCGACCCAAACCCAACCCGTTTACCTAAATCGATAGCTTTACCTGAAACAACCAAAATTTCTCAAAAAGCGTGGATATTTGCCTTCAATTTTGAAAATTTTTGACTTTTTTTAACCCGGAAATAAAAACTGCCGAAATGTTCACCATGGTCCGTAATACGCTCCAGGAGTCTAATTAGTTGGGTGGAACCATCCAATTTGCATTTAAACGACAAATTTGACGGTTTACAACTTGCACCGATTTCATTAACTCAAGCCTACCATGAACATTTATGACAACATATAATGATCATTTATGGATCCAAACGACATTATATGACCCCGATATGGATCCCCTAAAATCTTAACGTTTTTTGACACCGGGCCCCAAAACATTCGAAATTTCTCAAAAAGCGTGGATATTAACCTTCAATTTTGGAATTTTTTTACTTTTTTTCGCCCGTAAATAAAAATTGCTGAAATGTTTACCATAGTCCCTAATACCCTCTGGGAGTCCAATTGGTTGGGTGAAACCATCCAATTTGCCTTTAAACGGCCAATTTACCGATTTACAACTTGCACCGATTTCATTAATTCAAGCCTACGAAGAACATTTATGACAACGTATAATGATCATATATGGTTTCAAGCGGCGTTATATGACCCTGAGATGTATCTCATAAAATCTCAAGCCTTTTCGACACCTGGCCCCGAAACCTCCAAAATTTCTGAAAAAGCGTGGATACTAGCCTTCAATTTTAGATTTTTTTTTTTACTTTTTTTCGGCCAGAAAAAAATTATTGAAATGTTTACCATGGTTTCTAATACCCTCCAAGAGTCCAATTGGGTGGGTTAATGACAGGGTAATTAAAGTGGTATCCCCAAATCAAAAGTAATTACCTAAGTCCTCTAACTAAAGTAGATAGGGAAGTAGGGTCGAACTCCACAGGGAAACAAGTCTTTTTATTCCTAATTAACTAATATAATCTAGATTATAAAGTAACCAATATTTATATTTGAATAATAAACTAAACTACGAAGATTGAGAATAGGGAGAAAACAATATATAAAAGGATCTAGGGCATAGGTTCACCAATAAATAATACTCCAGGGTAAAACATAATAATCAATCATTGACATTGCATAAATAACATGATTAACAGGCTCTCGCAATTTATTGATCAACATAGATCTAACAGGCTCTCGCAATTTACTAGATCTAAGTTCCTATTGAAAATAGCCTTTAATATCAAATTAACATCTGCTCGATTCATCAATTCAATATTGCTATACTTTTACAAGCCATAATTGTAAAGCGTTAAAACAATTCAATAAGAAGTTATCATACAATATAAAAATCAATAATAGTCAATCATCAATGCATCAATTAACCAGATCGTAAAGGGATTTCGCTACGTATTACCATCACAGAATTAATCTACCGATATTAAATCTCATCTCTCGAATCTTGACTTAACCATTTATAAATTAATCTGCCTATTGAAACTAGACCTAAACATCAATTCTCATCTGTCGAATCTCGGATCAATATTGTCAAACTCATGCATAAAAGATCAGGCCTAATCTAGTCACAGAGCATTAAATCAATCAATAGGAAATTAATCTAGCATTGATAATTAACAACAATAAATTACCCCTTCATATTATTCATGGATCCCCATAAACCCTAGAAAGAAAACTACTCACACATAATAGAAACTAAACAAATCAAAGCAATAAAGTAAGACATGATTAAAGAAATAAAATAAACAACTAAGATTAAGAGAAGAAAAATCGTTACCAAAATAAATCTGGAATTAAGAATGGATTAAGAACAAAGGTTTAAGAGAAAGAAAATCTAAGAGAACAATTAAGAGAGGAAAGAAAGAGTAAAAAGAAAGAGAGAGAGAGAGATATCGTATTACGGAGGAGTATTTATACTCTGTACAAATCCTAAATTAAAACAAACTAAAACGACGCTAATCGTCTCCTAATAAATACACGCGCCCGATCGGGCGCGCCTTTTGCTTGTCAGTACTCATCTCGCGCCCGGCCGGGCGCGTCACCGGGCGCCAGCCTTAGCTTCTCCCGCCCGGCCGGGCGCGCCTCCGGGCGCCAGCCTCTTTGGCCACTATTTGGACTACGATTGGGCTCCAACTCTTCGGGCCAATCTGGGTTTCCTCTTCCGGTCTTGAATACTTGGTCCAAATGCCCCGGTATCACCTATACCGAGCCCTTAATCACCGGTTCGATGGCTCTAACCAGCCTTGGGCTATAAAATCTGGTCGTGCTTCTCCAATGTTCGTGATCGCTCCAAAATATCTTGGGAAAATACTCCGAAAGTATAAATCCCTGCAAAAGTCAACCAAATCTACGAAAACACTAGAATACACCAATTAGTAATAAAAGTGGCTCTAAAGAGCCAAAAAAACTACTAATTATGACCAAGGGACGGGGGTAAAATACTTATAAACTAGACACATCAGTTAACTCATCCAATTTGCTTTTAAACGGTCAATTTATCGGTTTAAATTAGAACTTACACCGTTTTGATTAACTCAAGCCTATCATGAACATTGGTGACAAAATATAATAATCATTTATGGTTCCTAACGACATTATATGACTCCGAGATGTATTCCCTATAATCTCATTTCTTTTCGAAATCGGGCCCCAAAACCTTCGAAATTTCTAAAAAAACATGGATATTATCATTCAATTAGGATTTTTTTGACTTTTTCCGTACGTAAATAAAAACTGCCGAAATGTTTACCATTGTCTCTAATACCCTTTGGGATTCCAATTGGTTGGGTGGAACCATCCAATTTGCCTTTAAACGACCAATTTATCGATTTACAACTTGCGTCGATCTCATTAATTCAAGCCTACCACGAACATTTATGACAATATATAATGATCATATATGGTTCCAAACGGCATTGTATGACCCCGAGATGAATCTCCTAAAATCTCAAGCCTTTTCGACACCTAGCCCCGAAATTTCCTAAATTTCTCAAAAAACGTGGATATTAGCCTTCAATTTTGGATTTTTCTTTACTTTGTTTTGCCTAGAAAAAAATTAACGAAATGTTTATCATTGTCCCTAATACCCTCCAAGAGTCCAATTGGGCGGGTTTAACCATCTAATTTGTCTTTAAACG